TATTATTATTATTATGTGTATGAAGCTATATATATATATATATATATAGCTGCAGAAGAATAATGTAATGTTTCTATGTTGTTATGTCTCCATCAATGTATATCTATCACTCTGTTACTACGTTTCTTGTGAACAATGTAATGTGTATATGTTTTTGTGTCTCTGTATCGCTATGATACTACTCTGTTTCTTGTGACTAATGTCACCATCTACACCACATTATTATTTTAGGTTTCTGTTTTTTTGTTGAAAAGTTTACACGTATATCCGAAGCAGAGTTTGAGGCATTGGATTCTTTCACAATTTTAATTTCGTGTGGTTTATTTTTAAGTATTATTAAATATTATTTTTAATTTTAACACATTTAGATGAACCAAATAATTTTGAATTAAAATTCTTGCAATATTAACAAAAGATTGAGAGACAATTCAAAGCTACAAATGAGTTTGTCCATAAAATGAAAAGTATTCATGTTTTGCAATTACGTTGTTGAATCATTGATGACAATTCATACTACCCTAGCACCCTATTTCTTGATAGAGAAAAGATGTGATAAGTTAATTGTTAAGGTGGTGTTTGGTTTTTTTTGGGCCAAATAAGTGCAAAAGGACAACAAAAAAAAAAATTCATCATTCCAAAGTTAAAAAGTCAAAAAAGTTAAATAAAAAAACCAAATGATTAAAAAAGTCTTAGGTTAAAAAAATTAACTAAAAAAATCATTACCAAACGAAGGGTAAATGAAAAATAATACTTGTTATAGGAACTTTTTCTTTTTCAATTCTTACGTGAGTTTTACCTATAAAATCCACCCCATCAAAAACATAATTGGATTCACATGTCATATAATCACATAGAGAAACAACTTATAAAATTCTTTTAATCATGTACAACTAGCTATATAGCAAGTAATTTTTTTGGATAAAAAATAAATCTCCGAATTTAAAAGTCTCACTACAAGAAAATGCACTTTTGGCGACTAAAGTTTTAGTCGCCAAAAATAAGGTTTTTAGTCGCTGAAGCCTTTTCCCGACTAAATATTTTGGTCGCTAGATTTGTCGCGGAAAAACGGTCGGGGAAGGTTACGGCGACTAAATTTTTTTTAGTCGCCAAAAGTCCTATAAATGGCAACTAATATTTTTAGTCGCCAAAAATAATATTTTAGTCGCCAAAAATTTTATTTTCTGCTACTAAAACTTTGGTCGCCAAAACTTGCAGTATCTACGGCGACCAAAGTTTTAGTTGCCAAAGGGTATTTTTTCCATCTTATTTTATTATTATTATTTTTTTAGCTACTAAATTCTTAGTCGCCTAAAGTCTTTTTTTATTTCAGCTACTAAATATTTAGTAGCCAAAAGTTTTTCTCCCATTTTTTTTTTAATTTTTAGCTACTAACATGACAGTTGTATTTAAATAAAGAATTAGCAAATTACAAGCTTGGGTGGGAAGACAGTTCCATAGCTTGCGTGGGATTTTTTCCAAACAATATCTAAATAAATATAATTTGTATACAGAACAAATTATCCACAATTTTTTTTTTTCTGTCAATCCATAAATCAACACAATGAGACAAACTCAGAACATTTATAATCAAGTTGTGGGTGAAATTCCATCCCAAATCTCAATTAACCTTTATCCCAAATCCAGGTGAACTTTCTACAGATTGGCCTACACTGTAAAGCCATTTGTCAAAAGATAAAAATGATAGCTACCTAAGAAAACAGTGGTTGCGACATCCTTAGTGTCCAAATCTGAACCACTTTCATTCTCAAGATGTTGCTCTCATCAGAAAACTTGTGTTCCCGAGCCACACAGCTGGACAAGGATGCAAAGCATAATCCACAAACTCAAAAACTACAAATCCAGCATTCCCTTCTTTATCATGCCTGCAAAAGCAAGCAATCAGACGAGCATGTTGTTGTGGGTGCTGCAATTTCTGTCTCTTTGCCATCTCTTCGTTTTGTCGCTGCTGCTGCCTTTTTTTCTTTGTCTGGAACTCCTGTGATGATTCATATTTAGGCAAACTATGCAATCAAAGAACAGGTGGAAATTAATTTAATATAAACAAAATTGAGACACCATCAGGCAAACTATGCAATCAAAGAACAGGTGGAAATTAATTTAATATAAACAAAACTAAGACACCTTTATTTGACAAGCGGAGATCAGTCAAAATATTAATAGAGAGGCTTTAGGAAACCTCAATTGGAGGTGTAAACATATGAAATGCAGAAGGTTTGGCACACTATGACTGAATTTTCCAAGTCTTGTTGAAGGTACATGATTAATACCAAATCTTTTCCTTAGTACAATGAATCAGTAAGTAAAATTCATGCAGCATAGCTAAGAAGAAAGATGTGAGACATACCTTCTAGGATTGCAAGGTAAGGGGTCAGTCCAAAAATATTCAGCATCAAGGGCATCCTTTGCAGATATTCTCTGTGTGAAATGGAAAAAGGGAAAAGGGGAAAAAAAATTCAAGGAATTGAAAGTTGTCGAACAAAAATGAAAAATGTATACATAGAACTGCACCAAATCTAATAATTTGTGCTTATATGTTCATGGCCTTTCTAATCGAGTTTTTGGAAACAGAAATGCAAAATGCAGTCACCAAAACAATCCATAAGCCACCAAAAATCAACAATCCCTGAAGACATAGAGATGAAACCATCATGATCCTCAATTGTATATAAAAATGTGTCATTAATTAGATGATTTAGGATGTATGTGTTTTGATGGGATATTGGAATCAAACTATTTTTAGATTATGCAAGCCACCTCAATTATTAAATTATAAGCTCAGAAGGATTTTACAATGAAGCGGTGGAATGTATCATTTCCCCAAATTATACTGGCAAAAAAATAATCATCCTCTTGGTCCTTCCAAAGCCCAACTTTGTTTGATATGCCTTAATTTCAAAGCAACTAGCTAATCCTTTCTCTGTCAAGAAGAACTCTCTAGCCAGTCGTAGCAACTAGGAGTTTCTTGCAACTAAGGTTTTAAATCCTATTTTATAGAGCACTATAAATACCCAATACCTTGGATACATGGTTGCTTACCCAACAAGATCTAAACTTTTAATTCAATTTTTATTTTATTTGTACACATGTAAATTTTTTATTTATTTTCTGAAGAAACAATTAGGGCATGAAAAGCATCCAAAATCTTTATGTTCCATTTAAGTTAATGAAATATATATTTAATGTACTTAATCACAAAGTCAGTCAAAAAATGGATCTCGGTTTTATTTTTTAAAAGATTGAATTTTGGTAGACCTATAACAACTAATAAAGGGTTAGCATTTTCTCCACTCCCTTTTTGCAATAAGTCAAAACTCAGATTTATATTGTCATTTTCCAAACTAATAAAGTAAGTCATTTTATTGACATTGCAGTGTCAGTTTCTCCAAACTAATGAAGTAAAAAAATCATCATTTAGTTTGTCAATAAACTAATCATTTTAGTCTGAAATTTATAGACAAACTAAAATCCTTCCACTCCCTATTGCTAGACCTAAAACAAACTAACAAATTTTGGTACATCACATTATCGCATAATTGTGTTCACTGGCACACCTAAATAAAAATGCTATGGCTATGAAGTGTCTGATAGTCTATAATAACAAGTTCACTAAGCCTGAGATTTATGTGTACCTGAGATGGATCAAGGGTTAGCATTTTCTCTAGTAAATCCAATGCATGACGGTCAAAACTGCAAAGCAATATAAGAATTATGGATATCAAACTTCTTGCACTAAAATGGACACCAAAAAATCCAAGTCTAACTAACAACTTCAATTGTATACTTGCTGTCTAAAAACCTCCCTCACTCGCCTTGTCATCGGCCTTGTTGGCTTGAACTTGTTATACCAGGGAATCTTGGAAACCCCAGGCCAAATAATCTCATCTGGAGATCCACACAGCTCAAATATCTTGTTCAATTGTTCAGGCTGTAGTAAATATTCAAAAATAGAACATTGCATTAATTATACATAACCTAGATGAAACTTAAATTCTATGAATTTTTCATCTTCAACACCCTGTTCCAGCTGATTACAAACTAAACCATTAAAGTCCTTCATCTTGGTAGGGTTGCAATATTTTATCAGGGCTTTAAAAATATGTCAAAAAATAAAGATTTCTTTCAACGCTAGGCCGGTGAATGTAGATATAGATCTTCTACAGGAAACTAAGGTGGCAAGGATAATTGGGGTACAATAAATGCATCTGCATTAAATAATCTGAAACTACATAATTTATATTGGCACTTAAGATGCATAAAAACTAAAGAACAAACACAATTAAAACATAAATGTCCGAAAAAATAAACCTGACCTAAAAATGATCAAGAAAAGGCCATAACAGGGCACACATTCAATCTTGATGGAGCTTCCGTGGGTGATGGAGATGCTTTAAAAGTCCATAACTTGTCAATCTTGAACCAGAACAGGGCACACATTCACAAATATTCACTAGTATGTATGCAGAATTTTGAAAAAAAACTGGAGAAGTTAATGCAATTAGGTTCAATGTTTGATTAAGAAACACAAATAGAAGTCCAAAACATTGAAATTAGAATGTAGACCAAATCAGAATCCAAAACCTAAAATCTATAGGCCATAATATAACATATCTCTAAAAATCCAAAACCTAAATTCTCCATTTCTTTTCAATGAAGAGCTTGACAAGTGTAGATTTCCAAAAATCCAATACATACATAGACAAATTGAAAGAGAGAGAGAGGTTACTGACTGAATAAGATCTGGGAGCTGTTGAGCGCGAGAGCGAGGGTTAATGCCCTTACGGAGGACATTGTCATGCATATGATGTTTTGGACTCGATCTAATCCTTCACTCCTCTTACATCCTCTACTGTCAGCGAGATCATTTCTCCTCCAGACACGACGGCTCCGGCGGTGGTTAAGGCCGCGTGAGAGGGGCAAGAACAAGGAGGAGGAGGAGGAGGAGGAGGAGGAGGAGGAGGAGGAGGAGGAGGAGGAGGAGGAGGAGGAGGAGGAGGAGGAGGAGGAGGAGGAGGAGGAGGAGGAGGAGGAGGAGGAGGAGGAGGAGGAGGACAAACGGATATGCAATGCTTATTTCCAAATTAGGCAATCTAGTCTATACTTGTTTGCTGCGCGCATAACATAGTAATTCTAGGCTAATAATTGGTATAAGAACACATAACGTTTTCAAAAATGGATATCATGGTTAGTAGAGGCCGATTTTTGGACCGGGCGAGAGGGGGTGCTCATAGCTGACCTTCCCCAATCGTACCCTAGCTCCCGAGCCGAGACAACTCCGGTGATGACGGACATGTGGCCTTCGGCACCGAGTCAGGGTTTCCTAAATTCCCCCATAAAAAATATTTAGGTGGCGACTCTGTATCTGGCAAAGCAGTCCATGTTTGGCACTTCTTTCCTAAAATCTGTTTTCTCAAAACGATTTGCCAGATTTGGACTCTTTGGTTCAAGATTAAGAACCATGACACGAATCGAGTCCGAACTGTGGCGAGGGCCCCACGCGGGCGAGTCTACAGCAGTCAAAAATGGGGTGTCTATACTCTTGAGATGGAAATGTGTGTCCTTTTGAAGGGTCATAACCTTTCTGAAGAGTCATGAAGGAATCTATAAATTCCATCTCTCTCACTTCTTTTTAGAAAAAAGGATTGCCACTCCTTATTCACTTTGCATTTATTCTTCATTTTTCTAGAGTCTAATTTTCCTACAAAGAGAGTACATGCACAGCGAAGTTCGCTAGGCTTGCAATAGTAGTGCTGCTAGTGCAAGACATTGATCGTTGTATCCTGGGAGATAGATGTTGCAGACACCCCATTTTTGATGGCCCTTACAACTTGGATGTCCTTTTAGGTACACCCAATGATGAGTCTGCTTGCTCGTCGAGCGCTCGAAGTCCTCAGCGGAACGCCACAGCTTTGAGCCTTTCAAACCCTGCATCCATTTTGTCTCATTTTTGGACTAGGCCTTTATCTTTCTAGCCTACAACCTCTGGTGGCCTGCCGGCCATCCCTAGAGGCTGTCGGCCATCATTTTTGGTCGGCCGGCCATTTATGTGCCTTGCTGGCCACCAATGATGCCTTGCCGGCCACCACTGATGGTCGGCCTGCAACTAGTGTTTTCTGCAGATATTTTATGCCAATTGTACCAACTGTTTGCACAGATGCTTGCATTTGTCCACACGTGGAGGGTTGGATCTCCTTGTATAGATTTCATGTTTTCTATATCCGGGACCCCCTCTCTCATGTTTTAAGGTTAGAAAATTTTAGACGCAAAATTTTTTCTCTCTCTCTACAAATCCACTACACTTTTGCCAACTTACTCTGCACTCTTGCCTATACTTCCTTAACTAAACTTGATCACCTTTGAGATGAGGTTCCTTGAGGCCTTATTGGAGCTCTAGAAGTTAGTTTTGGCTTGAATTGTTGCCTAGAATCACTCTTCTCTTCAAGAGGTATAATATTTGCTTTGTTAGCTTACTTTGCATACTTATTTTCTTATCTTTTTCCACTGTTTTGAGTTGTTTTTGGGCTATAAAAACTCTGGCAAAGTGGGATGAAATTTGTGGTTTGAAGCCATTTTAAGATAGGGGTGGTTCACCCTTTTTTGTACCTTGTTTGTAAGGCTTTTCCACTTGTGTTTCCCACTTTCAAACTGTCTTTTTCTAAGATTTTAAACACTGAATTTCAGAGCTTTTTCAGTGGTGAAAATCATATTTTGAAGTCCAAATTTGGAGGGGTTAGCCTCCCCTCCTTGTGTGTTGTTTGCTAGCCTAGTTGGTGCCATGTGTTAGTTTATTTTAGCTTAATTCCAACATGTTTTGGCCTTTGATCTAGACTATTTTAACTCTATTTTGGTTGGTTAAGTCACTTGAATCTTGTTTTGCATGCTTGTAGTGTAATAGTCTGCACAAGCTTGGTGTTTTAGGCCATTAGACAGCACTTGTTTGAGTTGATAGTACTTATTTTGGGCTTTTTATACTTAATTTCAGCAAGTATAATCTCTGCAACCTCCCTCCTTTATTGGATTTTAATTTTGCTTTGAAAGTTGTTTCAAGTCATTTGTTTTCCTAAGTGTGAAATTGAGGTTTCATACTTAATGGTTTAATCCCTTAGGGGGTTCATTACCAATGGTATGATGCTTCTTTCATACCTAAAGCAACTTGTGTCTTGAACTTTTTTTTCCATTAGAGGACTTTAAATCACCTTTTGGACTTAATTGGATTAAGGAATGGTTAGTAAAGTAAAATGGGTAACTAAAACTTGGGACTAAAAGTGAGCAAGCTAATAACTTGTGTGTTCAATCGGACGTTAATTGAACACAAGGAAAATTGGGACATTTCATACTCAAAATGATGAAATGTCTCTCTGCAACCTCCCTCCTTTATTGGATTTTAATTTTGCTTTGAAAGTTGTTTCAAGTCATTTGTTTTCCTAAGTGTGAAATTGAGGTTTCATACTTAATGGTTTAATCCCTTAGGGGGTTCATTACCAATGGTATGATGCTTCTTTCATACCTAAAGCAACTTGTGTCTTGAACTTTTTTTTCCATTAGAGGACTTTAAATCACCTTTTGGACTTAATTGAATTAAGGAATGGTTAGTAAAGTAAAATGGGTAACTAAAACTTGGGACTAAAAGTGAGCAAGATAATAACTTGTGTGTTCAATCGGACGTTAATTGAACACAAGGAAAATTGGGACATTTCATACTCAAAATGATGAAATGTCTTAAGTTTCCTAGGTCTTCATTGCCTTTGATCATGCATGACAGGGTGATGATTTTTGGTGTGTCTTATGTTTCATTTATTGAGCTTGCACATCTTGAATCACAAGCCATCATGCAATGAAATTGCTTGACTTAGTGGTCTGTGGCTTAAGTTCATAACTCCTTGGATTTGCTCATAAAAAGGGGGGATGAGTTGTGCAAACAATTTGTGAGAATGCCTTCCTTTTGCTCTATTTGTCCTCTGTTGCAACAAGATGAATTAGTGCATTAGTGGCCAGCAAGTGGCCGGCAGAGCACCATTGATGGCCGGCAGGCCACTTTTATGGCCAACAGTCTTTACCAATGGCCGGCTGGTCACTGATGCAAATCTCACCAGAGAGTTGTTAAGGTGGAGCAAAATGGTTCTGGAAATGTTCAACTTTGCAAACAGAGGCTTTCGAGAGCAAAATGGAGGTCTTCTCGGGTGATATCCCAGCATGCGCATGCACATCTTCCATTTCCCGAGGCGGAGAAGTGGCAAAGTAGTTAAATACTTTAATTACTTAGCTTACTTGTATTTGTGTAATTTAATTAGCTTACTAGTTAGTTAATTCAAAGTGTTGTAATCATTAGTTAATTAGTTTAGCTATTTATTTCATTAGCCTAATTAGCTTAGCTTAGCTTTATTCGTTCAGATTCTCCTTCGTGAGAGCATAATGTAATAATGTGCATGCCTTCCAACTCCACGTCTTTCTCCCCTTTATTTATCCCCTTATGATGGTTAGATTATCAGCATCACATTTCAATTAGCACATTGCATATTTGCATCAATTCATTTGTTTTGCATGCACTGAGGCTCGGCGCATCATTCAAACTGCATTGTTGTTTAAATACATTTGATGAATACTTGTTTAAAATGCATGCTATCAAATTGTTGAAAATAACATGCCATATTAGTAACCGAGCCTATTAATT